GAGCGTCTTCCCCATGCTAAGCAGCTTTGCTTCGCCAATGTGCCGGTTGCACGGGGAAGAGCTCAAAAAGCCACATCTTACTCTGTCGGTAGTACTGCATGGAGGTGTTCCGGGCAAGTGGTTTGCCCTTCTTGCCCTCGTTAAATGCAAGATACATGCCATACTTATCTAACACAGACACCAAACAATTACCTGTACCATCCTGTTCAATGCATGCTTAACATAGTCAAACTCAACATCTTCGCTCTTTACGAACGTCTTAAACACCTTGATGGCTGTTTCCTTGGCACGCTTGGTGTTGCCAGGTTTTAGCTCGTCTAAGCCCATCCTGGTCGGATAAGACGGATGGGCTGCAAATATGCAAGTGATATGCCTTCACTTGGAGTTTGTAGACGGATACACATATTTTTAGTCCGCCTCCGACCCGATACGTCAGAATGGCTGGCGTAGAGGACCTACCACATCTTTCACATTATGATTGGCTTAAAATAAAAGATTGAAGAATTTCGATTGGGTTGAGCTAATAACAAATTGCTAATTGGTCGATAATGAGCCCACATGCCCCATATAAAAATTAAGTGAGGTCGGATAACTGATTATATTCATCCATAACATACAATATAGTGTCGAGTCGGTGGTAACATATTCGGTGGAGACAGCAATTAATTACGGGAAAGATGAAAGTTACCGACGCCAATTGAGATATTCACAGCAGCTCTGAAACTTGGTTTCACATAACATTAGCACTCAGCGACAGGAATGGATAAATCGAGTGCTGGTCAGGGCGAGCTGCCGCCTGAAACGCCTTTGGCTGCAAGCGATGAAGACAATGCCGACCTCTCCCCAGCTCAGAAGATGATTGTCTGCAAGCAGATGCTGCTGTCAAGGCTCCAAGCGATCGAGGTGATGAAAAAAAAAATCGCGAAAACGGCCAAGTATTCCTTGAAGCTGCTGAACGAGCGCGACGAGTTGGTAGCGATTATCTCGCGCGAAAAGGATGAGAGTTTTTGTATTGCATCAGCCTTTGGTGTGTCGACGCTGGGTGCTGGGTATGTCCCCTCGTATGCAGTGTTGCTGGTGCAATGCTTCGAGGATCTCCGTGAACATCAATAGCCTTGTCAAGGATGAAGAGAAGGGACACTAAGACATCTAGCAAGGACATTGGAAGGTTTCTTATGTAGTAGTTACTGTCGCAGTTAGCTCCAGGTCAGTTTGAGCAATAGCGCTAGCGAATCTGTTAGCGACCATACTCACCTCTGGCTGCATAGGTATCATCCACATGATATAAAGTCGCCTAATGGCAATGTCGTCGGCTGTAGGAGCGGTCTTGGTAAATCGAAAGCTGTCTTTCAGCATGGCATATACTTGAGTGAGCACCAGAACTCCACACGACGTTCCATCAGACGGTTTAGGCGCATCGAGCCACACGCCTTCTTCTTCGACCGGGTACTCCACATGAGGCATCGTATTATCATGCCAGGCTTTCATAAATGGCACTAGTACATCTATATAGGTGGATATCATGGCAGCATGGAAAGTTGAGCTGCACAGTGGCTCGTAATAATACGGGGTGAAGCATGGAGGCTCAGTCCGGTACGCTATACGGACCATAATGACGCCCCAGTGTATGCTGCTCAAATGCACCGGCAACACGATGTAGTGCATGCTTGATATTCGCGTATGTGGCGGTGTTGGGCAGCCAAACGTTGTCGCAAACGAATCCAGAGCAAAACAATCTTCTAGCGTATCGCAGATACACTTTATACCAGTGCGAATGATAGCATCCGAGAGCATGCGGCCGCGCGCCACCATGCCAACCACATTGTCGAGCGTGACGCTTGCTTCACCACGTTTTAGTCGAAATTTGGAGCTCAGACCGATCGAGCTACTCCACGACCTCCTGTGCTAACTCTTGGTGTTTTTGCCCAGAAGTGCGTAACGTTAGGTCACCCGAGCCCGTCTCCGCGTCGAACAGCTCCGGGTTGGCTGTGATCTCGTATCATTTGGTTGATTTCAGCCATGACACGTCAGCCTCCCATGCACTCAGCTTGTTGGTGATGCTGTAAAACTCGTCCATCTTGTAGACAGCGCCGCTGTACAACCAATCGTAAAAGCAACATTAAGTGCAACACAGAATAAAATAGTTAGCAGCATACGAGGCAACATGTCATAGTGACAGAGTGAATTTACCTCATAAAGTGTGGCGTTCCACCTAGGAAGTGCATGATGATTTCCACGGAGGTATTTCCTTCTTGACCACTGTCCGCCACTCGGTTAAAGTAGTTTGACTTCTTGCGTTTCTTCTTCTCTTCTTCAATAACTGCACTTGACTTGATAACAAGCGCTTTGGGGATCACAAAGTTGTAGTCGTAGCTGTCGATACAGACGTGCTCACTATAACTTTGCGCAACGCGGAAGTTCATGAAGTCGTCGTCTATGATAGTGGAGCTCACCAGGTTTTCGCTGACTTAAACAGCCGTGTCCATAGGCGCTCTTGTTCGCTCCAACGTCGTTGAGCCAAGCACTTGTTGCAGTACATTCCTCGTTTGTTGTGGAGTCAGGACAATATTTGTGCACGAAAATATTTTGAAACGAGGGAAGTTAATTCAACTACTGCAGCAATTAACATAATAACAAAACCCAGTAGCGACAAGCAAATAGGGAGCGGAGCAACACATTCACCAGCGACACCCACCAAGAGAATTCGACAGGTATCAAATGATCGCGGCCGTACTGGCTTTCATCTCCATCATCAGACCGAGATCTTTGCGGACGTCAGTTGGTAGTGGCATGAATTTCGCTCCGCGGTACGAATCGTAGTTGTTTTTCAGAGTCTTGTGATTGTGCATGGATATCTAAACAGAAATGAGACCAGTCAGACTTCGGCCTCCAAATAGAACATACGATGCCTACCTACGAGTCCGGAATCACGCAAACCTTCCACGATGCAACTCCGTCCCTCACCACTTTCACCGAGCGAACTAAGAGACTGGCTTCGCACCCGGTGTAACGTTGACCACACTGACGTCGCCCTTCACCTCGCGAAGCCTGCGCTGTGCCATCCGTGCACCACAGCTTATAAAATTGTGTGTCAAGTGAGCAGGAATTTGTGTTGCTCCAGACCGACTCAGCAATGTAAGAGCAGCGACAATCACAACACAAAGTACAGCACAAACATTAGTATTTCTTCGTAATGCGTCAAATAAAATGCCACTTACCGATTGTGTGTAGCTCTGGTCTCCGAGCTTCTTATGCGATATAGCACGAGGTGTTCGGCCTGATAGCGATCAAACGATGTCTGGAAGGCTTCCCAATTTGAAAATGTCTTGCGAGGCAGTCCTGGAATCACGTTTGTAACAGACTGACGGCCCTTGATCATCTTTTTTCGGGCTTCCCATGTCTTCGTTCTCCGTCGTTCCAGATTGGCAACATCGTCGTTTGACTGGCAAGCGCAACAGAACCCACCTCCACCGACAATGACTTGGCACGTTTGCGTAGTGATGCATTCCCTCCGGTAGCGTCGTCGTCTGGAGCATGACGTCTTTTCTTCTCTTTTCTTTTCGGTGAGTTTGGCGGAGGATGACGTTGCGTAGAAGCTTCAGCCTCTGCGTTGCTTCGCGCCGCGCGTATGAACTCGTGTACGGTCCTGTCAAAGCCTTTTTGCATAGCAACATATCAGAACATACTGATTAGCAAATCCACACAAGCAACACAGCACGAGCAAAGCAACATAATATCACACCCGTGCTCGCATCGCCAGCAGCGTCCACACTCAGTCTTTTGTCCGCGCCGGTGGCTGCTCCGTCGTTTCGAACCAGGTCGTCAACGTCGTCATCGGAATCCCCGAATAGCTTCTTGTCGTCGTCTTCCACGGCCACTGTGTCTGCATCGTCTGTGTCGTTCACATTGTCCACTGCGTACACGGCGTTCGCGTTGACCATAGCATCGACGGCACCCGCATCTCCGCCGTCAGCGCGTTCTTCTTCTTCATTGTAGTCCTCGTCGATTGAGTGATCTTTGGCTATACCCTGGACAGCTCGCACGTAGTCGACTGCCTGCACAGGGCGTAAGCCGATGCGACGCGCTAGAATATAGAGTACTAGCTGATGCAAAGAAAGAGAAGCACGTAGCTATGTCGTACCTTGTTGTCCTGGTATCCCTAGCTGTCGTGTCATCCTCGGCCGCTTGCGCTGCGCTCCTTGCTCCCCCCCCTCCGTTTACGCAAAATGAAAGTCCAGTGCACATCGTATCTAAACGGGAACATGACTTTTCGTACTTAGACGCAAACAGAAATTCGCATTAGCTTCCCCGAAGCTACTCCAAATTGTTTTTGAAAGGTAAGTAGAGATAAATTACGGAGCAACACCTGTGTTGCTGTCAGCCCGTTATCGTCTTGTCGTCACTATGTCGCAGTAATGACTCCGCTTTCTGACACGCCGAACTGACTCCACTTTACCGGCGTGAGGAAGAGTACACAACAGTAACTAACCATTCATCTGAACCGCTGTCGTGTCGTGTGTACCTTATATTGGGTACATCTAATTACAGTAGCTCCTCTAAATAAAATAAAAAGTCGACACAGAGAGGATCGTCTTTACCTATAAAATTTAAAAGTGTTTTTTTATGGATTAAATAAGTACTTTGAAGCATTAAAATCAATTACCACTGGTACTGTATTGACATGTCGAAAGGAGATGATGCGCTTGTCAAGCTTCGTGAGCGCATGGCGCAGCCGCCCAAGGACTGGGTGGACGTGGTGATGGTGGCGGTGCTCACACACCCAATGTTTTACGCTGTATTGGGCTTCAGCATCTTCCTGGTGCTTGCAATCATTGCTCTATTCGCCACCAAGGTGCTGCTGGATCAGATCTCTGCCGAAGAAAAGCTGAAAGAGCGACAAAAGAACAAGAAGCAGCAGTAGAAGTCAGCACCTAAAACTCTAAAGCCTACGGACCAAATCATTCTATGAACGCAGCCTCCTGTTCGTTGTCTATTGCTCATCACTGCGAAGGAAAGACTACCACGGGGAAGTGTGGGTGGATCGAGAGGTCGAACTCCATCTGATTCTTCGAATCCTTTGTCTTCTTCGCCTTGCTTCCTGCATTCTGGCTGCGCTGTGCGAGACGGACGCAATTGGAGATGGACACCTTAAGCAGCGACTGAAGCTCAAAGCCGCGAACAAGACCCACGCCACCTACGGTAACGAGTGTGTTGACTGCTTCCTCGTCGCTTAGCAACGCCTCGGCATGTGTACGCGCCGTCTTAAAACACTCCTCGGCCGACTTGTAGATGAGATCTACTTCGTACAGGGAGAAATCGCTGTTCTGACTAAAGTCCTCGTACGTGAGAGCAGCGGGAAAATGAAGCTTCTGGAACGCAGCAAAGCGATGCTGGAAGCGGATCGCAAATGTGCTATAGGCGGGCGTCTTGACTTGAACAAGGTCCTCACGCTCCAGTGCATTGAACAGCTGGAAGTAGGCGCGCATCAGACTGCGTAGCAGCTCCGTGTACTTGATTTCACGAAGAAAACGCGCCTTGGTGGGGTCAGCAAGCTCACGAGCAGGCTCCGGGGCTTCCGTGGTGCCAGTATTATTGTGATGCTTCTTGTGTTTTGTCTTCGCCTTTTTAGAAGATTTACCTGCTACGTTTTCAGCAGGAGTTGGCTCATGACTCTCTTCTTTTGGCTGCTCCGTTGCTGGAGGTCCGTGGCCATGAGTGGAAGGCATAATCTCTTTCATTTTTTCAACGAAAGTCCAGGTGACGTTCAGGTTTTGAAGACGCGAGCCTTCCAAGTAGTCCAGATACCTGCGTCGTCGGCGCTGAAGGCGTAAGCACATAAACAGCTATCACAAACACGCAAGAACACACACGCACCAGTATGTCGTTCCAAACTCGGAAGGTGCGTAGAGTTCCAGTTCTAGACCCAGCACCACGTATTGAAGCATCAATTGTACCGACTCCTCGAGAGACCAGGCTGTAAAGTATCGCGGGTAGGCAGCTTTCTGTGGAGCAGCACCAGTTAACGAAGGGACCTTCGTGACTCGTACGGAGGCAGACGTACCGGAATACTCATCTCAGTGGTGAATTTTCCATCTACTGCAGTTGCTTCCGCTTGAAGAATACTCCACTCGTCCAATAAATATTCAATCCGGGTGCGTTGGCGAGATCGATTGTGCAAAAACACCTTCAACGACTCGTACACGGTTTCAATGCACCGGGACGAGTACAGCACGCCTTCTTGAGTTGAAAGTAGCACCGAAGGCACGCCGTTCATCACCATAGATGCAGACAGCCAGTCCATGAAGTTGTATTTGGCGTAGATTTTACCGTCGGCGTACAGGAAGAGCTGACACATACGATCAACGAGCATAAACAATGTTATTATAACAAAATCGAATAGAACAAAAAGCTCGTCGCAACAACAGCACTCACCAATACGTACGAACGAGCAACAATTGTGGGCTGCTGTCTGGAAAACTTCACCAAGAAGATGCGCAGATCTTCCATACACCTCCAATCCGGTGGCGAGCAGCCAACCACCATTTCCTCCAGCACCTTCTTCGTCTGCTCCAAAGCTTCATCAAAAGACGGCACCTTGACATCACGCGGTGGTGACCCAGACAGAAGCAGGCGACTGATGCTCGGATCAAACCCAAAAGACTTTCCACTAAAGCACTCAGGGTCAAGCTCCAATCTCTCAGTAGACATCCCTTGAACCAGCTCGTAAGCACGATGAAAGCCTTCTCTAGCCTCTTGCAAATCCAATGCCCCCTCTGCCAAGCCCAAACCAGCGTACGTACGCAGCAGCTCTCTTCGTATCCGAACTCGACGAATAAATGCCTCACAAAGCATGGCACCAACTCGAGCGTTGGGGTAGAGCAGTTCGTAGCCACATGCACTAAAGCTTTCGCAATTGCCTGTGGCTGGTGCACCTCCCTTCTTGCCGTGTTTCTTCTTTGACGATTTCTTAGAAGACGAGGCCTTGTGTTGCGTCAGTAGCACTTCCAATCCTTCCAATGTCACCTGCAGCAAGACATCGATCGTCTCTACGGAAACTGGCGCCAAAACACCAACGTCAAATCCATTTCCAGGTGAGAAATCCTCCTCCTCGTAGATATCGGCGCGCAGAGCAGCATCTCGCACAAGGTCCGCAGTCTTCAGTGTCGCCAAAATCATCGAACACACGACAAGCAGAAGCGAATCTTTTGCCGTGTTGCCCACATTCTCTTTCAGCACTTGTCGCACATCCGCATCTACCGCCACTAAGCTCTCCAATGGAGAAACAAGCTGCGCACAGAGAGCGTTCAGCGGGTCTCGGTGCATGTACACACTCGTCAATAGAGACTGCGCAAGCGGTAGTCCATTGAGCCATCCCGCCTCGCAACAGAATAGCTCGTCGAGCGTAGCCAGCACGTCACGAGGCGATGAGAACTCTAGAGGCACTGAGCCGCTTTCCAGGCGAGCCGAGATTGACTGTGGTGGGACACCGTTGACCAGCATCCCCGAGTCCATCTTGGGGTCCATTAGCTCTAACGCTGACATGGAATCAAAGAGGTTGAAGTCGTCTTCGTGCACCAGCTGCCCCACTTTGAGCTCCTTGGCAGCTGCACTCATTAACTGTCACACGAGGGTCAGAATTAAGAGCCCTCGCTCTTTTAATGATCTTCGGGCTACAAACCTGCGTCACATCTCGCCATTCAGCGTCGAAAGGCGAGCGCTGCATCTTCAGTTTGGTTTCCATCTCGGCCTGGAGCTCTCCTTCGTCGCTGCAGCCAGCATAGCAGCACACAAAGGGCGACAGCAGCAGACTGATTAGATCTCTTCAGTTCTACGTGAGTTTAGGATCAAATTTTCAAGTATCTACAGGACAAGATGCTATACAGCGTGTCAGGGCTGCAGTCATACCTCATTGTCGCGATGTATGTCCCTCTGGCGAGTACGGCGAGAGCGTTCGCCAGTCGTCCGATTCCCCTTGCGCCGTTTGTGGTCTGATGACGCGGTACACATTTCGTACATAAATTATACTTCCTCTGGTCGGAAATGATCACGCGAAGTTAGTATGATAGGTCTTTCAACTGTTCAATCCTCGATAGAAATTTGAAAAAACCTATCATACTAACTGACACGTCTTTCATTCTCTATCCCCGATAGGAATGCTCTTCAGTTTGTCACGTACTTCGTCTCGATTCTTCCGCTTTCTGCCGCTGTTCTTCTTAAGCCGGTTAAGTCACTCACCACGACACCAGCCGTCATTGCAGAGCTATACAGCTCCAATTAACTTCACGGTGTCCGGAAGTCGGCTCATAAGAACATCAAACGCTTCACGGGGTAGTTCTCTGTTGTTGCTGATCTTTAGAAGCTCGTCAATGACGGCTTTTGCGCTCGTTGTCGATAAGGTTGGACTTCGGCATGTTTATAGAGGAAGAAACAGCGTAGCGCAGGCGTGGCGGGTCGCACTCCAGGCGAGGCTTGAAACCTTGAGAGCTAAAACTGAAATTGCAGAGGCTATAGAAGTCCGTTCTGCGCACAACCGGTGGCTTTAGAAAGAGGAGGTGCAGGGCTTCCGTTTGGTCCAATCAGATGCCGTATTGGATAAATAGAGCTGAAGCGATTGGTCATTTTGTCAGTTTCGCGTGATCATTTCCGACCAGAGGAAGTAAATTAGGAGCTGAAAGAGGACAACACCACTCACTACGTTACAGCGAAAAGTTGGACATTTAATGAAGAGAATGCTCACTTTATTACTATACTATATCCGCTAATAAGTGCCCTCAAGCTACTTGAAAGCAAAGAAAGCTTCACCAGGCAGGACCAACGGACGCTCAGCCATCAGCTCACAGTCCAAGATAATCTCCAAGGGTGCAAGCTCGCGTGACTTGAACAGCCAGTCTTGTGTTGATTATCCTCGTCCTCACGCCCGCCTGGCAGGCTGGCTAACTTGCACTCTCTCGTCTCTTGGGTGCGCTCCTCTTTTTTTCTTGCCTCCTTCGCTCCCGCCGCCTTGTTCGTCCCTCCTTCGGTTTGCCCCACCAGCGGTCAATCGATCCTTCACTTGCTCACTCTTGCTGCCATCACCGCCGGACCAGTGAAGCCTGGAGCGCTTCAAACTTCTTGCTTTGTCCGTTTCTTCACCCTCGACGATGACCCGTCGGCAGTCGAGTCGGCCACGCCCTTCCGTCTGGCTCCTGTCAGAGTCCGTCGCTACCGAAGGCAACACACATAATTACAGCTTCTGTTAAAACAGAACAGAGATAGATAGATACATAAGTCGAACCACCTCATTGACCGGCACGCCCTAAGAAAAAAAATACACGCAAATGCACACACGGCACACAAGCAACTCTTCCATCTCCTGGTACTCCTGCTCCCGTCACCCCATCGAGAGCACTACACAGCTAAGTGGGTGGAGCGCAAGAGACCACCGTCACGACCAGAGGCAGACGGATGGAGGCATTCACTCACACGCACACATGCAAGGGCGAAAAGCCGTGGCTTCATCTGTCAGTGTTTGCTCACCTGCTGTTGAGTCTTCTCTTCATCTTCGTCCTCTTTTGCGAGGATTGCGAGGCGTCGGCGGTTCTCGGATTTGTTGTGGATCTTGTAGCCAAACACTCGCGGCACGTACAGCAATGTGGACGGGGCCGGCTCTAGCTCTCTGTAGGTCAGGAAAAACAGGTGCGGGAACGTTGTACCGAAATACGCTCCATCAACTGGAGAAGCAACAAAAAGATACCACGCAGAAGTTAGCCGGCAGTTGCCAACGAGGTGTCAAGACACGGCAGCACCTGCACCACTACAGCTACGTACTCGCAGGGGTCTGATACTCGCTGGCAGGTGTGTATAGGTCTCGGCACTTGGGGCAATACACTTTCATCTCTGACTTTTTCCACTCGTCGTGTAGTCCCGCCTGAACCAATGGAACGCGTCACTCACCCGTCGAATCAAATAGACACCAACCAATGTCACAACGTACAGGGACGACTGGCTGGCCATCGCACAGCGCTCTGGGGCACATACCAAAATCACCTTCTCGATATTTCTTCATCTAAGGACACAACACCAATCGTATCAGCACTAGTTTGCTACACTCAGGCTTACAACGCCGTACCATAGCATCCAGTCCGTGTGCTGTGATGATATATCGAGCATGGATAAGCCCGTAAAGCTCGGCAGCGTAAGCCGGCACGTCGTCGTCATACGGGATGTCTACAGCCATCCATCCAACCGTCAGTTAGACTAAAACAAAGGCAACACTCAGTTTTTTATGTAGAGCAGCGACGACCTACCTGTCATATCGAGGATAATGTTGAGAGCGTCCTGGTAGTTGGGCACCATGGCGCGCAGGCCGTAGAGGTTGAACGAGTCTTCGATGTAACTCTGCGCCACCTCGCAGAAGGGCTCGTTGCCCGACAGGCTGCAGAACCACTGCACCCACTTCTCATCCTCCTCCTCGTAGTCCGACATGGAACTCACGACGGCTCCTTGGGTCCTGGGGTCGCTTGGTCTCTCCCTTCGCTCTGGTCCACCGAGGCGCGTTCTCGCTGTTTTTCAGGTCTTCGGGGGACTCCCTCTCCAAAACGATCACAAAAGATAGGGCGTTTGCAATCTTCCAGACTGGAAGTTTAATACCTGTAACAGAAAAATGAGCTGAAAGTTCTGGTCCACAAAAAGTGTACCTTTATCGATAATTATGGATAGTATTTTAATTGTTTAACTATCTGTTATTACTACTCTGTCATGACAGCTACTATAATATTGTGCGTTTCTCAAAAGGCTGGTCCAATTAATAATACTCTGACATTTATGAAGCAATCCGAGTTAGGTCCCATTCTTCCCATCTTCGATACCCTAATTTAAAAAAATTCCACTTCATAAATAAAACGAATGTTACCTGTGTCGTCCTATCTGATAAGTCCGCGGCTTTTAGTATAGAACGTTGCACCAGTAGTGCATAAATAAAACGAATGTTACCTGTGACGGCGTCACATATCAGATAGGGCGTCACTGACGCCCTATCTGATAAGTCCGCGGCTTTAAGTATAGAACGTTGCACCAGTAGTGCGTGAAAGCTAATACCTGATTGAGGTATCAAGAAAGGAGTTGGATTGACGCGTCCAAGCAGCATTGGTATGGAAGCCTGGATCCGATCTACCGCAGAATTCTCGCTGGGATTGTGCTACAAGTCACGAACGTGAGCAAGGTCTCCTAGTTTCAAACATCACCGACGACTGAACAAATTGAACAGTCACAAGTAAAGAAATCGCTTCGTATTAGTTTAACGAAGAAGAGGTCGGTTAGCGTTTGGTCAGCCCTCGATTTGTTTTTACATCGGGGCCTTGCGTAAATCACAAACGCTTTTCTTCGCGGTTTTTTTAACGGGGGTCCTTCTTCGCTGGGGTCGCTGCGCTTGATTCTTGTTTGGTTCGTTCTGGTTGCCTTTGCACTTCGCGCCCGCCCTTTCACGACACTGGCTTCGGTGGAGCGCTCCGTACCATTTGAGTTAACACCACTCTTCGAGCACTGTTTACCTCTCGATGGCGTTGCTACAGTGAACGTTGGGAGATTAGGGCTGGTCACAAGCTGGTCCGAACGTCTCTCGTGCGTGCGTTTGCGTTAACGACCGAAAAGTGTCAATGTCTTACGGTTAAAAAGGTGGTTATCGGGCCGCTACGACATTCCACCCGTCGTCAGCTTCAACGCTCTTCCATTTACGTGGCTGTAACCAGAGTTAAGCCAATGCGGCACATGTTCCTTGTCGAGCCCCTTACGCTTAATGTCTTACAGTAATTTAGGCCTTCGCAGGCCGCTATAAGGGAAACAAAACGTCTTGACTGCCTGGAAGCATAATATGATCAGCTCCACCCTAATCCAGCCCTTTAATTTTCAAATATATGCTTTTAGATTCCAGAGCTTTTTCGTGTAAGGCACGACTTTGTAAAGGGTGGGTAGGGTTGGAAGTAGGATTGGATAAGCAACTGGAGCTGAAATATATTCTTCGAGAACCAACACAGCAAAGAGGGAAAACAGATTTAATTAGCTCGGTGGGGCTGCGCTCATGGAGGTTGACTCCTTGGAGTGACCCTATGGAGTTCGACTCGTTTGAGCTTCCCTACTTAGGGCCTGGTCGATAATCCAAAATTGTTTCTCATTCTGGGACAGAGTTTGCGCTGATTGGACGAACTCACCCTAAGTACACAGAATGATGCCAGGCCCCAGCATCCCTTCTCAAAACTGAGAATGGCTTTGTCATTTTATACTCCTGGGGGTACAAATTTAGTCGTGCGTGGGTGCGATCACTTCTCTCCACAACCAAAATGGAGCAAAACGTCGCCGTCGTTCTTGCAACCACTTTCGTCATCACTGCGATTGCTAGCTTTAACGCCGTGGGGAATGGTAGGGAGTTTCACGATTCCCCCCAAGGAAATACGTACGGAAGTATTTGAAGATGTTTTTGCAAGCGGAGCAGACGCGTGGTTCAAACGCAATGTGCGCTGCTCGTTGGATACGTTCATTCACGTAGCGTACGCTTGCTTTACCTTGAATGATCACCAGAGGAGGAGGGGAAGAGCGAGGAGAAAGGAAAGAAAGGGCGGCCCGTCGAGCTCACCAAACTCAAGATGATAGCAGTGTGTATGAACTACTTAGCTACGGGTTCGACAATTGATGCCGTTTTAAGTAAGTTTGGTATAGCCAAGTACACTGGCGTCGTGGTAGTGAACACGGTTTTGGAAGCACTGCGACGGCTCGCGGTCAAGTGTCTAAACTACATTATTGACGAGAATGGTATCGAGAGAGAGGCGGGCGCGTTCGAGCAGTTCTGTGGGTATCCCGATGTCGCGGGGGCAATCGATGAAAAACTTGTCCCAATCGATCGTCCCCACGACTATAAAGTTTGGTACTGTCGCAAAGGGCATCCTGCGGTTAGCGCTCAACCTGTTGTAGACAGCAGAATGCGCTTTAGATCATGCTCAACTCCCTCAGGATTGTCAAATGATCAGTCTCTATGGAACAGATCGGGCTTTCGTCCGATAATTATTGAGCATTTGACCAAGCGCTTTCATCTACTAGGTGACTCTGGATACAAACAGTGGACGCATTTACTGACCCCATATAGCGAAGTTGAAACTAGCGAATGTCTGAACGTGCATTCGGGGTCTCAAAAACCGATGGCAAATTTTGCTTTAAAAAACCTGGAGCAAAAAACACCGCTAACAATCGGCGTCATAGTCGGTTGCATGGTTATGCATAATATGCTTCTTGACGTGTAAGGTCCTGTTGTAATCGAGGAGGATGATCCGGATTCGATTGGGGGCGCCGAGTCAGGTGCAATGGGGGTAGAAACCCAGGCTAACGCTGTGAAAGAAAACCAAAAGAGAGACATTATAGCGTTTTTTGTTTGAGGTTTAGCTTGGCATAATAGACACTGTTTGTTCATGCCAAACATAGTTACTCTTGACTCTATGCGCTCCTTTGCGCTAGCTGGGTGTGAGACGTGGCCGCGAGAAGACGGAGTAGAAGCTCATAATGGGCTTGTTGCGTGCTCACGAGCTCCGTGGTCGACGATGTGAGCTGCTCGTGCTGCGTACGCAACACTTTAGCGACGCTCTTGTCAGCAGGTTCTCTGTGCGGCCATGCCACGACCCACCTCCGCTGCCAAAAAGTTTGCACCGGTCTTGTTCTTGGGCTATATGTCGTCGTGGCTAAGCTCGCTCGGGGCGTCATCATCGTCTGCCGCTAAGTCCATCCCCAGCCCCACGGGCGCATCGAAGTCGACAATGATTTGTCCCGTGAGGCCGCCGCAGACCCACTCGAAAAATGGTAGATAAGTGGGAGGGCGGGTCAACGGCGCGTTGTTCCCGGTTCGGCTTACGTCCGCCATGTGGTGCTTAAGAACCGTCCCATCCGGATGAGAATAGAAAAAGTAGTGTCGCTCCCAAAAATTTTATGTTTCTTCTTGCTTTCACCCGCGATCCATCTTGTCGGGTTCCGCCCTTGTCTCTCATCTAGAACCGCAGTTTTTCTTCTTGAAGGGTAGCTGGGTAGCCAACCGTAATGCAAAATCCAAAATATACAAAGTAGAGTAAGAAGCGTTCCTCCGACACTCGAGGAGGACTAGGTCGAGAGTTATTCAGACTCGATCGAATAGCCCTCTTCAACTCTTCCTTTTAGAAGAGCAGTTCATCTTCGTTCACAGTAGCGCTTGCATCCTCCAACCGTACGCTGCGACGTAGCTCCGGTAGGTCCTCCTCCTCACGACGGGTGTCTTCAAACGCTTTTATCAGTGCCGAGTAAGTAGGTAATAGAGTGTTCCGAGGCCTCCATAGGGACTCATAGGTGGCCAGCAATACTCTGCGGAAATGGCACTTGCGTTCGATAATAATTTACACCAGCTAGGCTCCTCCCTTAAACTCGATTTTATGGCTCTGTCATGGTGGCGGTGACATTGGAGCGATTTCCGCAGCTCAGATTGCCGTCTGATATCTCAAACTCAGGATAAAACGTGCATAACCAGTGCGTCTGAGAATCTCAAACCCGCCTGTCCAGCTTCGGCCCTCGCCCAGACACAAAATCAGGCGGAGGGGGGGGCTTCGCCAGACTATTTGAGTCGGAATAAACTGTTATACCGTATATATCAGATATACACCTTACCCTATTGATAGTGAAAACACATATATGTGATATTCATTCCGCGCGCAGCAATACTAGCCCGTACTTCTTCATTTTCCTGACATCGACGATGCCCGTGAACCGTGGGAGACTTCAAGGTGTTGAGAACTACTTAACAGAAGATGTGACAAAACTGCTCAACGAGATTGAAAGTATCTTGCCGACAGATGGTAATGGGTGGGATGTTGTGCTGGAGAGCTACCAAATCTACGCTGAGCCCGAGCACCGCGCGCTCCGTGATGTAGACTCGATCAAGGAGCAATACCAGTCTTTGCTCAACTGCCCTAAGCAGAGCGGAGAGCCGCGGTGCCCGGACGCCATCTACAGAGCGCGACAACTCCAGCGGGCCTTTGAAGAACGAGTGGGGCACAACAGCAGCTTGGACGATGGTGAAGCCAGCGAGAGTAGCGACTCAGCGTCTAGTGGGCAAGGGTCAGCCGCAAGTGGCTTGAAGGATGACGGAGGTGATGAGGAAGCTTGTAGACACCGCCAGTGACAGGGAGGTAGCAAGAGCCATCGGTCTTTTCTTAAGCCCCGACTCATCCGTCAATGACGCAATTGCAAGCTTTAACGAATCTAGCGGTGCTCCTGCGACTGAATTACGAAAAGATGTCAGGAGGCTTCCTGGAATTGAGGACGTCGCACGATATCAACGCCAGATGCCTACCCCGGTGAAGAGTGTCCCCCTGCTAAACCGTCGACACTTTGACCAGGAGTAAGATAGAAAATGGAGGCTTCATTTCTATCAGTTTCCCGCGCCAAGTCAAGATGAAGACCGAGAGCATCGTGGTGTTTTCGTATCACTAGCCAATTCAGCGCGTGACCCACGTCAACGTTCTGAAAGAGATCAGCCGCACCCCCCCCCTCCCCGGCTCACTATACAGCGAATTACCGAGATCAATCGGCTCGATCCAGGCAATCCAAACATTCTCAAGATG